CGAAACAGCAGAAACAAACCTCTAAGGGTACAATGGTTACCAAGTCTATATTATCTGTGACTAAGCCAGTGTATAGGGATGGCAACGGGTCGGGTTCGAGTCGGATAGTACTATACCCGAACCCTACCCGACTTTTAAAACCGAAACCCGAACCCGAGCCAAAACCCGAATTTTGAAGCCAAAAACCCGACCGGACTCGAATCCGACATTTCAGTCCGAAACCCGAACCTGACTTTTAACCAATAATCAATTCGACGTACCCCAATAATTTTAAAAAGATTAAATCTAATTTTTTGTGTCCATTTTTTATTAAGAAATTATAAAAATAATTATAAAAGGCATACTTGATATAGTAGCACTTTGTCAAAAGATTATACGAAGTGCTCATTATATTCATAGATAGGATTTTATGTTATAAAATATTCGGGTTTGAGTCGGGTCGGTTTCTGATTAGGGTCGGGTAAAATTATAAACCCACACCCGACCCGACCCGATGTCGGGTTCAGGTAAAAAATTTTGGGTCAGGTTTGGTTTATTTTATTCTCGGTTCGGGTTCTGATATTTTAGTGGTCAGTCGGGTCGGTTAAGCTCGGGTTCGGGTTGAATTGCCATCCCTACCAGTGTAAGGAATTTTTAATTTCTAAAGTGATCCCTGCAATTAAGGCAAAGTGGCCTAGAGATGATTGTAAGAGAATATTCATTCAGCGAGACTACGTAAGGCCTCATATTCCTGGGATTGATCCAGATTTTCTAGCTGTAGCAAAAAGTGATGGGTTTGACATTGAGTTAACTAATCAACCACCAAATAGTCCTGACCTCAATGTTCTAGATTTGAGTTACTTTAGGGCTATTCAAGAACTGCAACAAGAGAAAAAGTGCATAGAAATTGATGAACTTGTTGAGGCTGTTGTTCAGTCATACTATGAGTTTGACACAAAGCTATGAAATTTTGTGTGGCTTAGTCTGCAGTACTTCATGTGGGAGGTGATAAAAGTACTTGGGGGTAATGCATACAAGATCCCACATGTTGGGAAGAATACACTGCTCAGGCAAGGAGAACTACCCCAGTCAGTAAGTCCTGGCACAAGAGCAGTTGCCAAAGCTAAAGAACATTTGTCATTGCTAGAAATGGATTGGAGATTGTACGTGAATGGTAATAGAGTGGGACAATTCATGGATGAAGATGATAATGATCTTTAGACATGAGCTGCTTTAAAGGGATGAAGTGTGGCCATTTTTTTGGACAAAAGTAAGGGCTAACTTTCATTACAATCAGAAAGTGTAGATTCTTAATTGTATTTTTTGCTTTAAAGAAAGTGTTTTAAGTTAGACCATATTTTATAAAAACAAATGTAGTATCTAGAGGGCTTTTTTTTGTTATACATCATATGTAGTAGGTTAGGGCCTTTTTTTGTTTAAGAGCAAGTGTAGTAACTTAGCCCCGACTTTTGTAAAAACAAGTGTAGTATCTATAAGTGTAGTAAATTGGTCCTTTCAAAGGCCATTTGTGCCAAAAAGGTGTAATATCTGCAAGTGCAGTAAATTGGTACTTTCGGAGGCTATTTGTGCTAAAAAAAATGTAATATCTACAAGTGTAGTAAATTGGTCTTTTCGAAGGCCATTTATGCCAAAAAAAAGTGTAATATCTGCAAGTATAGTAAATTGATCCTTTTGAAGGCCATTTGTGCCCAAAAAAAGTGTAATATCTGCAAGTGTAGTAAATTGTTCATTTCGAAGGCCATTTGTGCCAAAAAAAGTGTAATATCTGCAAGTGTAGTAAATTTGTTCTTTCAAAGGCCATTTGTGCAAAAAAGAAAGTGTAATATATGCAAGTGTAGTAAATTGGTAGTACTCCATACTTGTTTTAGGGACAGGAAAAACATAGACTAGTGTTTGCTAAGCACAAACGTCCTAGTCTAGAGAAGTCTCTTCAACATTCCCCAATAAGGTGAATAGAGTGACAACAATGTGATATCTATGCGTTGTACACTACAGTACATTCATCATTGACCACACCCACAAAAATCACAAAGGGACACAAGAAGAACCAAGTGCAGTATCTAAAACAATATTCTAGGGACATTATAAATCCAGTCATATTAATACGATTAGAGTCATCTAAGGACAAGATTCCAGGGACATGAACTTCACAGAACATAAAACTCCACGGTGGGTATTCACCAAAAAAACACCACTAGTAAAGAGTGTATACTCCGTAATTTAGTAAAAAACAGAGTAGTACTCCCCTTGTTAGGCATCTCGATTCTCAGGCTTAGGCACAAAGCATACTTTGTCCTCATCATTGTCATCGGGATCAACATGTGGAAGAGCGTGCCATACGACACGGAGTCTCTTCTTTATGCTTGCCACTAACCGGTGCACGGAGGGCGACTGATGAAAGTTTGACCGTCACCACTTTCCCGACATCATGCTCAGATGTTGAATCCCTGCCCCTTGCTTAAACATCAATGGAAGCCATATTTTAAAAAGTGCCTTTGTAGATGGTGCATGGTACTCGGGTGGAACAGTGAACCTTGGACAAAATTCTAGCTTCGCGGCTTGAATGAGGGGGCATCGATTCACCATCAGAAGACGCATGTAGAGACAGTTCGGAATCCTTAACTCCAACATCTAGAGTATCTAGGATGATTGAGCATAAATCAAAATCAGAGAAAGAGGACTCCATCATTTCTTTTTCCACGCTAAGCAAGATGATGAGAGAGAAGGAGATCCGATATAAGAAAAACATGAGAAAGAACGAGATGGGATCGTCTAAGGAAGAAGATAGAGAGAGTGTTGGTGATTTTAGTGTCATCGGTTTATTTTGTGTGATTGGATTTACTTAGATTGGACAAAAATTTAAATAAACGTTGTCAAACGAGTTAGGAGGCGCGGAGTGCGCGCTCGTTCAACGATATTACAAATTGAGAGTGGGGTCCAGGGGCGGCAGCCCCTATTTCGAACATTTTTTCTTTATGAAAATCTTTAAGATTTTCGTGATTGGAGTCCAAAATAATAAAGGGCTCGAACGACTGGATAACGTCAAATTTTACTCTAAAACCGTAGGATCTTCTTCTCGCGCCTTTCTTCTTCTCCGCACGAACGTACGCGTCTACGTGAACGTTCATGTCCGATCATGAAGTTTCGACTCTATAAAATAGAGTCTCGTGGTATGGATTGAGAGTCGGATTTCGAGTGCTTGTTGTTGATTAACGTCTTATCCGATTGAAGTATTTCGTATATTCCGAAATAACTTTGATCTGAAAGCGTTCATACGCGATTAGTTATACTACCGAGTTCTTCATCAACATTGCTCCGCAGTGTTCTTTATACAAAAATTCTTACAGAGAGAACGAGATTGCATCGCCAGAGACGGGTAGAAGGAGACAATGGATCCAAAAGGATCTAGGCACTGAGAGATATACAGAGTAAATAATGGGTGGATGGTGATATTGATTGAGGGTAAAATGGACTTTTAGAGAAATTTTCCTTACCAAATTAAGTAAGTGGACAAAAACAGTGGGACGGCCCAAAAAGGAAAAGTGGACAAAAACAGTGGAGCGGAGGGAGTATTATGTTTGTTTTAAATTGCAAGGCTCATGATGAACCGGCCGTTGAATTGTTGTAAGATTTTACGAGAGTGGTCTATGTTGTACTTTCCAATAATCCAATCCTACTATTAGTTTCAAATAAAACTTACTCTTTAGAGCAATATCGACCAAAAGATTGGAAGGTAATACTACGTACGACATAGGTCATCATGTAAAGTTTCACAACGATCAAACGATCGATTCATCATGAATCATGCAACTTAAAATTAAGATAATAAAATGTGAAAACATCTAAGATGTACTCCTTTCGTCACATAAAATGCATTACACTTTCCTTTTTTGGATCTCCCAACAAAAACTTTACACATTTCTTCCTAAACTTTACACATTACACTTTGCCGTCAAAATTGATAAACTCTAACAATTAATTAAACACAATATTTTTAGATACTCCGTATTAATACAAGAATAACTTTATTAGATATATCTTTAAAATAATTTCAAATTATTGTTTTACTTTGTATCTAATTAATATATCTTGTACGAAGTAATGTTTTATTTAATCATAAGTTAAAGATCAATCCTTGTTGACGGCAAAAAGGTAAAACTAGACAAATACTCTAAGATAAATGAAGTATTTTGGTAATGAACACGTGGCTCAAATAAATTATTCTCATCTTAATACTCCCTCCATCTATTAAATTCTTTGTCACTTTTCTTTTTAGGTCTTCCAAAATTATTTTACTGTTTTTTATTTTGGTAACAAATTTTAATGAATGTATTATACCCTCACTTTTTATCTACACTTTACTTTAGTTAATTACCTCAAGGGCAAACAAGAAAAAACTTTACACTTTTTAGCCTTTTTAAGTCTCCATGTCAAGTCAAATGGAGAAAAAAAATTGGATAGAGGGAGTACATTCTAAGCATATACTTTTTGCTTTTTAATAGTTTTTTAATATTGTGGAAAGTCAAACGGTAAGATTTTTAGTGGGACATGTGTGACTAGTAGGGATATGATATGCAGTTGTGCCCCATCACTTATATGAATAATGGACTGAAGGAAAATATTAGTACTATGTTTTGAAAGAGAAAAGAAATGAAAATGAAGTGAAAAACAATTTTCTTGTTTGGTTAAAGAGGAAAAATGAAAAAGTAGAAAGAAAAGAAAATGAGAAGGAAAAATATACTAAGTGGAAGGAAACCCAAATTCCTCCCATTTTGGTGAGAAAAATGAGAGAAAATCATTTTCTTTTCTTTTTCTTCCAATTCCTTGAACCAAACATAGTGTAGGAGTACTCCACTTGGTGATACCAAATAAACACCAAGGCAAAAACAGACCTACACTAAAACTCAACGTCTGAGTATAAACAGATATTGAGTGTCTGTTTTTGTCTTGGTGAAAGTGTACACCAAGTGAAGTATCCTTAGCAAAACTCATACTACGCAATAGAACAACTCCTTTGATTATCAAGTACACCAAGGAGCGTATCTCAAGATATAAACTTAATGTATGTACTAACACTTTGATAGTTTATATTTAAACAAAATGTTTGTGCGATCGAATAATTATACACTAGCTTCTCGTACTTTTGTAAATCATCACACTGGCATAAAATAAATGTACACGCTTGTGTTGTACAATTTGAGATACAATTTTTGATGGAGAAGTAGTTTAGTCGTATAGATGTAGAAGTAGTTTAATTCATTGATTATTGATACTCAAATTGTTCCTTCAACCTTTTTTGTCTCTGTCGTTACTCTTTTCCTATATTTTCTCATATTCATATTATTATTGTATACACATGCACTAGAGATAATTACTGTGTTTGTATTTATTTATATACTAACCTAACAGTGAAATATTCCTTAGATTTATTTAGTCTTACCGAACTACACAACATTAGAGGGATCAAAGCTACTGTCATGTATCTTCTCCACCAGCTTTAAACCATAAGCCTGCAGAATATCCAACGCTGCAAAATCACATAATCAGTTCTGTGAATTTATAATGTCAAAGTCACACTCCCAGTAGGAAAATACACAAATGGAAGTGTTGGATTGTCGAGCTTGATGTTATATTGGCTTAACTCTATGAGTTGTGCACGATTGGTCCTTCAAGTTTCAAAAGACCATAAATAGTCCTTAAACTTTATGAGTTATGCACGATTGGTCCTTCAAGTTTCAAAAGTCCATAAATAGCCCTTCAAGTACACGTCAGCCCTCCAGATGAGGTTCTTTTGACAGTAAACGTTAAAAGCTAAATAGAGTACTAGCTCCATATAAAACGGAGTAGTCGTACCTAGTGGAATTTACTCGTGTTATATGAAACTAGTATTCCATTTAGCTTTTAATGTTTACTATGAGAAGGAACTCATCTGGAGGGCTGACGTGTACTCGAAGGACTACTTATGGACTTTTAAAACTTGAAGGACTAATCGTTCACAATTCATAAAGTTGAAGGACTATCATGAACTTTTGAAACTTGAAGGACCAATCGTGCAAAACTCATAAAGTTGAAGGACCGATGGTGGATTTTAGCCATGTTATATTTTATGGGCAATTTAATAAAAACCGTTCTCTTTCATCTTAGATTGTGTCTCTGTGTGTGTGTGTCTGATTTGTGATCGTAACAGAGAGAAAGATAGAAAGTACCTGGAACATAAACATCTGCATCAGTTGGCCTTATCACACCAGTTGATCTAATCTTGTTTGAGAGCAACAACTGTTCATGTAGCAGAGAATTTAATCTCATCAGTTCTTATTTGACCAGTGTTTTTTTTAAATGTAAAAATATGAAAACAAGTTCAAATGAAATTTACCAAGGCCCCAATGGCTGCGGGAATCCCAACTGAAAGAGCCATTGCGGAGGTCGTTTTCCCATTACTATCAGTTCTTCCAAATTCCAAAAGAGTGGCTTCATGGGTTTCAGTTTGCCCGTCTGGCAAATCTACCACCACTTCATGGTGCAAAAACACCATGTCCTGACCATTAATGAAGTGAATGAATGATATGGAGAAGGTTACATAGAAATGCTTATACTGGTATGACATTTTAGTGCTTGTTTGGTGGGCATTTCTTCAGCTTATGATTTATGAGGTCAGATTTTTCATAAACATAAACTACTAACTTATACGGAATCATTGTGCAGGGTGAATCTGCCAATACAGATTCTACTTTTTGGCCGAAATGACTGAGATTAATAGAGATGACACTTCAATTCTCATCTTTCGATATTATTTTCCTGAATTTATTTTTCAAAATTACTCTAGTGGCTCAAAGGTTCTCCCCCATTGCAGGGTAGGGGGGTTGGATAAACATAACCTAGACCCTATGTTTAAAACATAGAGTAGCTGTTTCCAAATGACTCATGATGAGTGTTGAAAGTTGTATCGACCAACTGCTATTTGACTATAAAAAGAGCACAGTCAGTTTAAAGTCGCTTTATTCCATCATACCTAAAGCCAAAAAATAGTGAATCTTTGATTTCATGGGAGAGGATAAATATTTCTAAACAAATACATGATGTACGGAGTATTACATAAATTTTTTGGATAATTCAGCTTAATTCAGTGACAATTTCAGTAGATTTAGCCAATTCAGCCATTTCAATCCAGCCACTTTTTGGTTTACCAAACTGGCTATAATTTAATTGATGTTTACCTGTTCTCTCTCTGAGTATGTTAACCTCTCCTCCATTAGTGAGCAAGTCACATCAAATGCAGATTTGCAGGAAAATGGGATTTCTGCTGGCTCGTGAAATCCCAGAAATCTAACAAAAATCAATTAATGCCAATAAGGGCTAAATGTTTGCTGGATTAGAACTGTTGAAATCAAATGTCACTTTATGAGCTGTCATCTTACAGGATAGTTCTGGCTGTGCTTGCTGCTGCGTCTTTAGCTTTAGCATGTCCCACTAGTACCATAATCTGATCTAGTATGTCTTTCTCTCCAATAGATGATGCATATAATTTCTCATCGTCAATTCTGAGGAGTTGAAGCAGAAATTGTGCATATGTAGTTTTCTTTCCATTTCCAAGAGTGAATAAGGTTTCTGTATTGAAAAATCCCAGCTTTGCAAGTGTCCCCATTGTTTCACTAAAACCTGCAATCTTAATCTGTAAGTTTTACCATTTTTACTAATAGCATGCCCTTAAGCAGTTGAGCAATGATATATTAGAAAACGTGTTATAGAAGATAAAATACCTTCATAACGAAGGGTTCCTCGAAACACTGTCGATGCTTCTTCTCCAATCCCGTATAAGTCCCCATAAACTAACGAGTTGCGATTTGGGAGACACTCGAATGCAAATGCTGGAAAATTTGGAATGCGAAGCTTCGAAGCTGAATCATATAGGTCTTGACCTGCAATATACCACCTTGTCAGCATAAAAAAGAATAGCAGAACTAATGTTCAGTATGACCATTAGGTTTTATGGCGTGTAACACGTATTGGGTTGAGCACTTGAGCTCCGCAAGTGTTAGAGTCTGTTTGGATCACTGGAAATGCTAGGAAAATGGGTGAAAGCTGTTTTTTGGTGGGTATTTCTATGTGCTTATAAGTTGGTCACAACTGTTCATAAGCTAACTTTTACTTGTAAGTGAGTTGATGACGTATTTCTCTGTGTTTATAAGTTGTCTTATAAGTTAAAAAAAATACGTACCTCTTACTCTTACCTACTTTTATTTAAACCAGATTTTTCATTTATCTGTTTTGACCAAATCAGTTATAAAACTATCCCTAACCTTTTATGAATATCTCCAAATGACTCATCTCTCATTTAAGTCACTTTACAAAAAATACTTCAATAACCCGCTTATAAGTTGAAACCGCTTATTATCAATAAGCAAATAAACTCTACAGAGAAACACCCTGGTACTACATCAGAAATGTTTGGTTTTACAACAGAAAGGTGCTTGGTACTACGGAGTACATCAGAAAATGCCAAGGAAAATGAAATTCAACAATGCTTTTAAAAGTCTTGCATTTTTCAATGTTACTTAGTCTTTATATAATACGGAGTATAACTGTATATAGAAAATGAGTTTACACAGATTTCACATATTCCCTCGGTCCCATAATACTATCTCGTTTCACAAAATAATGTTTGACTCAAGCTATTTTTAACTTGATTTGTTTAAATATTGGTGCAAAACAAATGCGGCTTGACTATGTTAATGTAGGAACAATCATCAACTACAAAGTGTAGCAAATGACTAATGAAAATAAGGAAAGCTAGTATCGTTTGGCCCTAAGAATACTAAACAAGACCAATATTAAGGAGCAGAGGAAGTATAAATTGATTGGCTTTGAGCAAATATTTTATTTTACTGTGCATTTTCTTTCCTTCCAAATTTTATTACGGAGTAGTTCCAAACAGATCCTCAGTAAACAATTCAAGAGACTGAAGGAATGTGAAGAAACACCTTTAACTTCTACAACTTCTCCTTGAAATCTGTAGGTAGCTGGATTGCACCCAGATCTTAATGCCCCTGCTGGGCTCCAACTGTAAAATTGTTTCAGTTTAAAGTAGTTAGAATATGTTTTTGCGGTTAAAAAAAGAATGTACTTGAATAGAGGAATGCTGATATGGATGAGCAGTTAATCATTTTTGTTCGTCTTGACGGACTGGCATATTCAGAAGAAGCTTCAAGTTCAGAAAAGAGAATGACAAAGAATCCCCTTAACTCGGAGAGTTAGAGCTATACCTGAACTTATAAGCTAACGGGTTGTTTGCAGCAGCTGGGGATGGAAGACCACCACAGTAAGAAACAAATGACCTGATCTTTCCATTCCTCACATGTGCTTGGTTGATAATCTTCATTGCCATCATATGATCTGAAATATAGAGCACAGAAATTTGATTACTTCGGAACAAAAACTAATGTCACCATAGTTAAGACTTAAGATGCATGAGCAACTCAAGCAACAATATTCCCATCATCACACAAGATATTCCTATCTTCTTCTGACATGAGTTAAGAATCGGCAGTTAATATAGTAAAAACATAAAATAGTTAAAGCATGAATTTTTAACTATATTTTAAATATATTCCCGATGTCTCATTATAATATTACTGAGACAGTTCATGTGAGGCAATACAAACTTACATGCACATTGGGATATAATGAAATAACGATATGCTGAATATGGTATGTTTTTGTGGGACGGTCAAAAATGGGACTATGGAAGATCTTTGTGGGTGGATGAAGTCATCTTTACGGATCTAACAATAGGCTCCTGTTCTCCAAATATGTAGCAACATTTACAGGATTTTTAGATTCTTGATTTCTTAAAACATTTTATTTGTTCTTTTAAGTAAATCTGTAAATGGGTTCCACATATTGAGTAATCAAGGTATATGATTTAGACTTAGAGCTCAAATATGTCTGAGGGCAAATTACCTATTCCTGGATCCAACCCCATTTCACTAAGAATGGTTACACCGGCACTTTTTGCATCTTCACTTAGCCTTGACATAGAATCATCAACATAGCTGCTGGTGACAAGGTTTCTTTTCAGCTACATCAAACCACACACAAAACAGAGGTCCATGAGAAAAGTAAAACGTGTAACTAGCATTGAGGCTACCCCTGCAAGTAGATAAATGTTTTCAGCATCTACACTTGATTGGCTAAATTCATTCGAACTGTGTTCTTAGTAGATTGTAAGGCAACTTGTTTAAAAAGGCACTTGGTTAGGTTCCTTACTTGCAAAAGTCCACCCTTCAAAGAAGGCACAAATGCGCTTCTTTTGAACTATATATATTTATATTTTGGTGCCTAACATCCATGTAAGACTTCATTGTAGAACCGAAGACATCTCGCAGTACTGGATCTTTGATGTGCCAAATTCCAGTAATAAGTAATGGTACTTTAGAATGAAATATTACCTCAATGCAAGCAGTTGCAACAGTAGAATGACAACTCGGAGGCAGTAAGCTGACAACAACATCTGCCTGCATAGCATAAAGCCCCACATTCAATACAAGTTTCCTCTAGTGTAGTGAATATGTTAGCTCATTTATTGACCTTGATTTGTTCAAAGAATGAAATTCCTCAGAGCATACAAAAGGCAGTACCTTTGAAATGTAGTTATGTAAATTTTCACGATTTGAAATATCAAGCTGAACTGCTTTCGCATTTGGAATACTCTCTGTAACCTGCACTTTCTGGTATTATTATTGGAATCTCATTGGAAATATGATGTGCTATCTTCATCAAATAATGTAAGAAATTCTCAGATTCTTCAAGCAATTGTTAACAAAATTGTAGGAGGTAGAAAATCATATAGACTGTTGATAATTATGCTCCCAAGTTCAGTTTTTTTTCCTTCCAAAAAAAAAGAGAAGAATCTGTAGATAAAAACCAGAATTGAGAATGTGGTAACATTACAGGATGAAGGGGTAAAACTTATTATTGGTTACAGATAATAGATACCTCATTAGAGTCCTTCAAGTATAAAGAGGCAACAATGACTTCAATACAGTTTTGTTCTTCAAAGTCATTAGAGATGCATGATTTTAGCTGTTCTTGAGCCGAAATACCACCTAATGATGCTAAGAACTCCACAGCTGGTATACAAACACGACCAGCACCTAAAATCAAGACCTTGTATTTGTTGTTTGCATCATGTTCCCTCGCTAAACTGGTTTCAAGGACTTTTCCGGCCTTCAAAGATAACACATTCCTCTCCTTGTAGTGAGATCCAAGACGTTCACCTGAATCAGCTATTGAACTCAAAGAATCAAGTATTCTATCTAAAACTGCTTTATCATCTGCCCCAACCTGTTGTTGAAAATCACAAGTTTGATTTTTAGAATACCTTAGAATATGGATCCAATTTTCCTAATATTATTTAGATCTTTTATGAACACATGAAGATTAAAGTCTGATTCATTTTCACTAGGATCAGAAGCAGTCATATTCAAGGCATCTGATAAATTTAAATTGCAGTCATTGTGACAAATGAGATTCAGGTTTCCAACCAGGAGCACAAGAAAATTTGATATTGAATTTTTTGACAACATTGTTACGATTGACGAGACATAGGCTCAATGATAGGTTGGAAGTGTGGTGTCAACCCTTGGAATCCAAAGCTTTCAAACTGGGCAGGACTAAGACTAAATACATGGAATGTTGCTTCAGTGGTCAGATGACTGAGTTGGTGGAGGAAGTAATGATGGACTCACATCCAGTGTTAAAAAGGGACAAGTTTATTTTTGACCCATCATTCAAGCCGATGGGGTGGTAGAATTGGAAATGCTGCTCATTGTATTGGAGCTGTTTCGGCATAAGAGTAGGCTAACGTCAGGTGTCATTTGTGATAAGAGGATATCAAAAAACATGAACAACAAGTTTTATTGGTCACTGGTCAACCCGGCTATGTTTTACGGAGTAGAGTGTTGGGCAGTGAAGACAACACACATACAACAGCTTCAAGTGGTAGAGATGATGATGTTGAGGTTGATGTGTGGATATACGAGGATGGATAAGATCTAGAATGAGGTTATCTGGGGAAGGATGGGAATGGTCCCAGTAGAGGATAAGCTGCAGGAAGTGAAATTGAGATGGTTTGGGCACGTAATGAGGAGTATGGATGTCCCCGCGAGAAGATGCAATAGGCTTGCAGTAGGGGTGAGAGGAGGGGTAGAAGTAGACCCAATAAGAGTTGGAAAGAAGTATTAGACTACATTTACAATTTCAAGATCTTACCAAGGGTATGACCTTAGATGGAAACAACAAGAGGTCTATGATTAGGGTGTTAGAGTATAAAATCTATCCTGGATCTACAACCACAAGCTTGAGCTTTTGGTTGAATTGGTTCCCTGGCATAGGGTGACTGGGTAGATATCCGGGCTTTATCTTGAAGTTTCGACTTAAGTTTCTATTCCTGATTTGTGTGCTGGTATGCCTTAGTCACTAGTTGATGCTTGTGTGCTTTGTGTCTGCGTTTCTAGTGTTTTCATGTGATTTTACTCTCTTTTGTGCTGTTCCGTTTGTCCCTCTGCTCTTGTGTTTTGAGCCAAGGGGCTCTTGGTGAAGTACACACACTCCCTGGTCCCATTTTTGTGGGACTGTTAATAGATATGCTGTTGTTTTACATACCCTTTCTTTTCACAACTTTTTATGTCAATTTACAGCTGTGCAAGTGAAGAAATGATTTATGATAGTCTACCATGCATCTTGGTTTTTTTTCCCTGGATGAACCATACATAGGCTAGAGCTCAACTTACTTCAACTTCTGAGTACGATAATAACTCTGTACTTTGACCCACTTGACACTTCACCAAATGGAAGGAGCCACCTGCCTCTTCAATGATATCCAAAGCCTCATTAATAAGAAACTGATCAAACAGATGGCCACTCAAAGGAACCTGCCAGTTTGCGAATTCTGTCAGTGGCAATTGATTTTAAATAGCTTATCAAATATTATTCAGATATGAATATGCATTAGCAGTTAGCACGCACTCTTTCTACTTGGTTTCAAAATTTTCTTTCACTCTCTTTTTAAGGATAAGATTGTCTGGACCATAGTATTTATCTTTCCTCTATACAAATCACAGCCACACATGTTCCACTTTATTAAAAATCGTGTCAATCCCTACTAAAAGATAATTATAGGACGGAGGGAGTAATATTCATAGAAATTTGAGCCATTAACAAGAATCAATCATGATGTAATCAGTGTTTGTCTCTCGACTTTACCCCATCAATATGATTGTCTTTCTTCAATCCCTCCTGCTTACTAGAACTAGTGAAAGAAGAATAATGATACAAAATATATATAACGGAGTAGTAAAAATTAAGAGGCGTACCAACGTGGTGTATCGTTTCTTATTGGATGGCAAGCAGTTAAGAGTGTCTGAAGAATCTCTGCAGCAAAAAGTTGTAAACAAATCAGCATATGCTTGAGTTGAAACTCAAATAGTTACTTGGGTAAAAGTTGCTTAGATAGCTTTAAAGAAGAAAATATGAAACCTCAAAAATAGTAGTTTTGAATTTTGATGAATCCAAAGCTAATTAAGCTGCAAAGTATAATATATCAACAAAAAGAAAAAGAAAATCAAGATTATATAAAGAGCATACTCAAGATTGGAGTTCCGCATTCTAGGAATATAATCATACAATGGACTTAGATTCCCGAGATGAACTATGCAAGCTCTCCTTAAGGGTGCAGGTAATTCATCAAGACATTCTACAGAGGCTAAGCTTCGAACAAATTGTGATAAAATGTCCCCAAAGTGCTGCGAAGCCTACAATAAAGAATGCAAACAAATGAAAAGTGAAGCAGCTCGCGTGCACACAGTTATGGACATAAAGATCACTTCATGCTTGAAAAGGATGCTTCATTGTCTCCACACCTCTTTTGCAAACTCAGTTGGAAGAATGTCCACAGCTGAACATATTATTCCATTGCCCTCCATATCATGATGGTATGTATTATTGATGGGATCATATCTGGGATTAATTTCCAAGAAATGATATAAGCAAATAGATGAAATAAATAATTAAAATGGATATATGAATATATGATAGGCCAATTTGAGTAAGAAAGCTTTTGAAGAAACTGAAAGTCCTTTGAGCAAAAGTTCAAATTAATAAGAGAACATGCATGCACTCAACAGTCCACAGTTATATCTTACTGGTCTAAAAAAGGATGTATGCACATAAAATGGTTTTTAAAAGTCCCAGATAATCACACGAGGAGACGAGAATACTTCCAATTGGAGAATGCATAATAGATACAAAATTATACCTGAAGAAAGGTGAGTCAATAGATGTGGTTTGCTTGACAAACTCAATTGACCCTTCTATATCACAGCTTATATCACAAATTCCAACAAGTTGAGATCCATTCCTTTCCAAATCTTGAAACTGCTGGGTGGTTAACAATCGAGGGTATCTTCTCTCCCAATACATACAATTTACTGGAAAAAAGATATGAACACTTGGGCACTCAATATAAACATTAGATTAAGTAAAGCTTTATCTATCTTTTTGAAAAAAAAGAACTGAAATTACAATTTTTTTAACTGAAGCACTGCAAATTGAAATTCATGTACTCCATATTTAGTTTACACGTCATGTAGTTTATTGGTTAAAAGAAAGCATGGCTCTCATCACGGACCTATAACAGATGCATAAGGGGCTAATTTTTCATGGAAAACAGGCTTGTAGTTCTCTGGATGTGCATAGTATTCAACCTGAAATAAAATTAGGTTGTAGCTAAGTCTACCTTCCATCAAGACAAATGGGATACAAGAAATTGAGAATATTTAAAACATTAATCAGTTTCAGACACAATAGAAATGATGAAACCATACTCAGAAACAACAACACTAGTTTGTTCGTGTTAGAGTACATCCCACATCGGAAAATCCAAGAGAAATAATCGGTATATAAGCTCTAGAGTTGAACTAACTAATCGATTGGATTCAATCTTTTAATGTGGTTCAACCCAAGTGTCTTATTGCTCAATCCAGTTATCCCTACCCCATCCCAAATTCTATCATGGTATCAAAGCCAGGTTGCTCTAGGATTAGGGTTCATTATTTGTAAAAAAAAAAAGGGCTTCTGCCATTTTGACGCTGTCTCTAAGGGTGCTCGCCTGACGTCACCGCCACCGTGGGTGGAGTCGCACGTTGCAGGAGAACAATTCTGGAGAATCTCTCCTTCGTTGGAGACCTCACGCCCAGCCAGTGCTGGTCAGATCCACTGTCAAAAATCACTGTCAGGGTCGCCTGAGTCATCTAAGCACCTGTGCAGACTCAGTTTGGACATTCAGTGGGTGATTTTTGCTCTGTCTTCCTCTGCCAATCAGGTTTTGTTCAAATTTTAGTCCATTAATATGGGTGATTTAGGCATTAATATGGGAGATTTAGTTTCCTTATATTAGCACCCTTCTTNAAAAAAAAAAGGGCTTCTGCCATTTTGACGCTGTCTCTAAGGGTGCTCGCCTGACGTCACCGCCACCGTGGGTGGAGTCGCACGTTGCAGGAGAACAATTCTGGAGAATCTCTCCTTCGTTGGAGACCTCACGCCCAGCCAGTGCTGGTCAGATCCACTGTCAAAAATCACTGTCAGGGTCGCCTGAGTCATCTAAGCACCTGTGCAGACTCAGTTTGGACATTCAGTGGGTGATTTTTGCTCTGTCTTCCTCTGCCAATCAGGTTTTGTTCAAATTTTAGTCCATTAATATGGGTGATTTAGGCATTAATATGGGAGATTTAGTTTCCTTATATTAGCACCCTTCTTATGTATATATAGTCATGTTGTATTATGTAATAATGTATAATGAGGAACACCTCTGATTATCAATCACATGGTATCGGAGCAGGTTTTGGCCCACCTCGTTTGTCAAGGTGTCCGTCTAGACGTTCATTCCTAGCGGCCCGTTAGTCTTTAGCCCAGTTGTCCGTATGGATGTTGTACCCAACAGCCTGTTGCCTGTTTAACACGATTGCTCGTCTGGAAGTCCATACCCAGCGGCTCGTGGTCCTTTAGGTGTTGGCGCTCAAAAAAAAAAGTCAAGGGAATGGGAGTTCATTTGCAAGTGGTCAACCGGTTAGATTCAAAATGGCCCGGTTGTCCACTTGAGGGGGAGTGTTAGAGTACATCCCACATCGGAAAATCCAAGAGAAATAATCGGTATATAAGCTCTAGAGTTGAACTAACTAATCGATTGGATTCAATCTTTTAATGTGGTTCAACCCAAGTGTCTTATTGCTCAATCCAGTTATCCCTACCCCATCCCAAATTCTATCAGTTCGCAAAATGAAGAGAAGAGAAATTGCCTGCACAACAGTTATTACTAATATAAAGAAGTTAAAACCAGTACAAATGGAAAGGTTATCAAATTAGGAGCAACTAAAACTAGTTCACAAACCTTATCAAATGATTTCAACGGATCCTTATGTTCCACCATATCTTGACAGGTAACAACACAACCATAAACTTGAAAGACCCTCTTTGATGATGGTCTCTTTGGAGTAAGATCCTTGGCCTATGAAATGAGAATTTCATTGGTAAATTTTGACAAAGCAATGATGACAGGGGTATAATATAAGAAGAAACACATTTCCTCTTCAATCCTTACTGAGTATAGTGTTCTCAGAAGCGGACAAATTGTGGAGACAGCTCAAGTGAAAACAAAAACCATGACAAGAACGTAAATTTGGGTTAATAAAACAAGTCCAGCAGAATTACTTGTAGATTTTTGAAAGGAACATGGAAGCATGTGTACTATAATATGGAACCGAATCCAACATTACCGTGCCATGTAGTTCTGGAAGTTTGCTTGGATCCACAAATGCGTGAGGAAGGAGCTTTAAAATTTCTTGTGCGCCATGAGAGACTATGGAATAAAGCGATTTTTGTTTACATGTCGTGAAATCTGAATTTGTAGTTTAAGAATATATTAAATGAAGGGTTGTAGAGTCCCATAAGACTTGAATGTACCATTTCCTGAGCCAGTGAAAACAAAAACAAGAGGACAGATTCCTGCAGGAAGTCCAGTAGTGGCTATCTCTTCACCCACAGATATTACTGCAGCTTTGGCAGCAGCCAAAGAGGAGTACATGTAAGATGATCCCAGAGAAAGAAAAGGTGTTGAATATCCATGGCTAAGATACCCTGAACACGATTAACCATTCAGATATCAGAAAGAGTATCATTCTCATGCATAGTTCACACAATTTCCCATAGGCCAATAGAAAGATTACACTGTCCTAGCCCGCGCAAAAAATCAATCATTCCAGCTCTGCCGGCAAACTTCCCAAATGCAAGTAGTCTCTTTCCATGATCTCCAACTATAAGTTCATAATCAAACAGTGATGCCCTCGATGCTAAAATCTAAAACCAGAAGCAAAGATTTTACCAGTCAACAGAAAAAGATTACCTTCCATGATGGGTCAAACAAGGAGGAAAAGATTACCTTATCTAACAAAGGCATATTTTCCTTTTGCGCCTTGTGGGTATGGGAGAAAAATGCGTAAGCCCTGTCAGGAAGAATCATATCCAACTGCAGCAAAACAAACTCGTCTAAACAATCCAATCAGCACTCTTCAAGAAGTAAATTATATTTATAAAAAAAAAATGAAAGTAAGTACGTTGGGCTGTTTAATTCCCAATATGAGACCGCACTCTGACAAGTCATCAGACACTTCACAACCAACATCCTCATAGAGTGCATCATGATGAATACGCTTGGTGGATGGCTGTACAATGATGCGTGCCACTCCAGTCTTACCCTTTCCACCATGTAGCAACCGGGCACAATGTGAAGGGGTCAATGGAACCCTTCTTTCCCACTTATTAGTGGACTCAGAGAGGATTCCAACAACCCCGTTGCCAAGCATGGTCATTACCTAATGCCTGTTCATTACAACAACCAATAATTTTGATTCAAGAAGTACAAATCCCAAACTAATTAAGCCTCAATGCAGAAGTAAAACAGAAATTCTGCAGGGGCCGGTTCAGAATAGCAGACAATGAGAACATTAATGCACTAGTACTGAAAATGTTGGTAATTACTCCCTATTTTTTAGGTCAATAGGCAAAGCAAAAAAATATCATCTTTGAAAAAATTAACTTTCTACTTTTTCTGACTCCTCCTAGTTCCTTCCAACTCTTTCCGGTTTCTTCCAACAACGACTTAAAAAAGGTATTTATATATGACGAATATACCATAACATCATATATCCAAATTTATAACATACATCCTCAAACACGGACAAGGATGAATTCTTTTTTATCTAAAATTGAAGTTTTCTTACATATTAATTTAGATGATCGTCTTCAAAATAAAAATCGGATGATCATTATTTAATCAACTGACTTTTTAACACTTTAATTCTTCCAATATTTTTAAACTCCTTCCAGATTCTTCCAACATCCAATTCTGAAATTTAAACCCAAAAGAACAGGGCCTAAAAGGTAAAACAAAAACACATGAGAATAAACTAACAGAGATTAATCAGAACAACTCTCAATCACAGGGAGAAGTTCTGTTCTACATGTTCACAGTTCATTCCATGAAAGAGTCATCGTTATATGTCGGAACCAAGTTCCTATCCCCATAGCTTATGCCTGATGGTCGAGAACACAGAACGACAGAAGCTGATCACTGTGATCAGTGATCAGAAGGCAGCAGCAGGCGAAAAACACGTTACCTCAGGCTGGCAGAGAAACAGTAGCCGCCGGTCGATCGGGAAAGGTTGAAATGAAGAATCGTATTCGTGATGCAAATCCGCAAATGCGTGAATCGATTGCAGGCTGATGTGGGTACTAGGATAAGAGCAGACGGAATCTTTTGTCGTCTTCAGGGCAGTTGATTATCCTATTTTATACTACTACGGAGTATTATATATAGAGGCAGCAAGCTTGGCATGCAATGTCAGCCCCGAGTCCCGACACTTTTGAAAATAAAAATTTGCCAGTACTAAAAGATACTCCTCCGGACCCTCCCTCCTAAATTTATTCTGCCTTTTATTCATGGAATCCAAGTCATAGAATAGGAATGAAATGCTTCAATTTTAATTGTTTTGTTTGGTAACACAAAAATATGTTGAATAAGAATTAAATTCTAATTACAATTCTTTCAATTTCACATTTTGAATTTCATAGCACACGAAAAGAATTGAAAATCCAAAATTTGAATTCTATGGATCAAAATGAAATCACGTTGGTTTTTTCTGGGTTATAACAAAGAAACAAGTCTTATGAATTAAAAACTTAAAATTAAAAAATAAAATTTAAATTTAAATTTAAAAACTAAAAATTTAAAATTTAAAATTTAAGATTTAACATTTTAAACTTATAATATAAAAAATAAAAATTTATAATTTATAATTAAAATTTAAAATTGAAATTTAATTTTTAAAAATTGAGAATTCAAATTTAGTTTTTTAAATAAAATAATTAAAATTTATAAATTTAAAATATATAATTAAAAACCTACAACTAAAAATTTAAAATTAAAAATTAAAAATTTAAAGTTTAAAACTATAAAGTAAAAATACATAATTAAAAATTTAAATTAAAAATTTAAAACCATGTCACTCCCCTAACACAACGCTATTCGATCGTTGTAGTTTCTCAACAAGTAAATGTTTTTAGTAAGGATTTAGTTTTTTACTCCGATTGTTATGTCTCCTAAGAATTATTTTAGAAGTGATTGAAAAGATATGGGAAGAGTATAAAAGTGATTGAAAAATTAAGAAAGAGAAAGTTAAAATGATTGAAAAAGTAAGAAAGAGCGTGTAAAAGTGATTGAAAAGATAAAAAAATGATTGAAAAAGTAGAAATATTAAGGCATCCCCAATGGGAGTCTTGAGAGATTCTCATGAAGAGTCTTAATACTCTCTTTTTCAGACTCTTTCATTGGATTAGACAAATAATTGAGAAAAATCTAGAATTAAGTCTTTGAATTTCCAAAATCACTTTCAATACTCCCTATTCAATGTATCCAATGAAAATCTCTTATGTGTAATCAATAATAATTATTTTTTGAAAAATAAAGATAGTTACAATTATTTATACAAAAACCAATCCTCGTAAAAAACTAATTGTCATGGCTTTTTGTATTTCAATGATGTTTACTTACATAATTTAATTTTGTTAAGGTTTTATTTTTATTTTAATTATATATTTTTAAAGAATTCGACAATAAATCAAAAGGAAAACAAGCATGAAGCATCACCATCGCCAACTTCAAAATGACTTGATGGAGCACTTGTGAAATCATCGTGCTAGTGGAGATGATGGAAATGGAGAGGAAGGATCAAGGTGTCTGTAACACCCCATCCGGTTTAATCTGAGTCACCCAGACTGGAGTGCATAACAATATTTTTTTTACTTTTTTTTAGTGTACAAATTTATATTTTCCGACAAAATTTTAATGATATTGCATAAATATTTTATTTTTTAAAAAATTATGTCTTTTTTATTTTTTATATTGATTTATATATCTAAAAATTAGTTTAGCATTTAAAATAAAATAATTTAATAGATTAAATACATGTTTTTTTATATTTCAGATTTATTCAATGCAAAATGCAAACGTTACTATGTATTTAAAATTTTAAAGACCAAAGTCATAACTCCCCTCTTTGGGTCAACTCTAATTCAATGACATATTAACGGAACCCAAAGTAATCCCAACCCAAAATTTATCAAACCAAGAAGCAAACTCCAAGCCCGACGTCCTTATTCCGCTGCGGTGAACACGGCCAGAAGGGCGCACCTTTCTCTTCTTCTAACGGCTAACACCGCCGTAGCCCGGCATATCTTCGCCGTGTTCTGATTGGCTTCATAGCCTATAATGGCACTTTCACATTCTGATTGCGTTAATCCCATTAAAGTTGCAGCTCGTTGGAATCTCTTATACCACAGCTCTAGGGTGAGAGACAGTCGCCGCAATGTGCTTTCATGCATCAAAAAGTCAAACCAAGACATAAATCTGCAAACAAAGGTGATATTTCTCACACTAATTTGGCCTGCATAGGTTTGGATTTGTCGTTTAAAATGTACAAGTGCTAATATAACTATACCAATTTTGTCAAATTAGGGAATATTCCACTTGTTTTTGATGGATTCTTATCTTATTATCCACTTGTCTAACATGTTCATTTTCTATGTTAGATCAGATTATAGGAATTAGGATTTATATTAAGCGCGATGGTTGTTAGCAGGGAACTAGATTATTTATTTATTTACATAGTATTTATTTTTCTTTGATGAAACATTAGTTAATTGCCCAGTTTACTGAGGAAAATAAAAAAGTGGGGGCATATATAATAGTCCGATAACTTGAAACCCTACTTGGAACAATGGACCCTGATACAATATTGAATACTAGAATGCTTTCTCTTTTGCTACGTTGATGGAACTCTCAGTTTTGATGTTATTTTCATGAATATAAAAGTTTGTTAAGGTGCTGTATATTAGCTTTCTACTCCACGGAGTGGAAGTGACATCTGCGTATATCCCTCCCCGAACTCTAGTCCCGAGATAGATGTATTGGGTATGTTTGTTACTTTGCTTTAAGTTTGTTTGGTTGGGGAAAAATACATGTGTGTACTTGGAATGTCATACTTTTTACTCGTAATTATTTTGCACATTGAGGCAATCTGGCAATACCTCTGCTTAATAGGATAAGATATTAGCTGATGTGTCCTGGGAGTCATCATAGTAATTAAGTTAAGAATTACAACGCACACAGCAACTTTCAAATTTGAAATTAATTATTGTGTGGAGATATGATAGGTCAAGGGATTCACGAGGACTTGAGTCTTAGATTGGGATTTGGGATCATTCTAAAACATTTCAAACTGATTTGGAATCTTTGAAATGGTTCTAACAGGCATCAAGGCTATTTTCCTTCTGAGAGAGTGAGAGGTGAGTCATAAGCCTTGAAGCGCACATTTTTAGAATGTAAGAGAGTCTTGAGATGCATTCCTTCCCAGGCCCCCTTTCTCACTTCTTTTGTAAACATTTCGGAGTATTAATTAAACTATTGGCCAGCCTATGGGTGTCCTAAATACTAAAATCCCCTCAAGCAGTGATCCTACCTTGCACCTTTACTCCATTTGCGTGTGCCTCGAGGTGTACTCCTCCACCAATTTTTTAAACCATGCTGCATTGTCAATCGCTAAACACCGCCTTTCTCTTTGTTAATAATTCTGTTTGGCTCGTTGTTGACACCCATGCTCCTATGGAGTTGAGATTATACTGGGTTTTGTTGTTTTTTGCTCGTCACAATAAGTTAATAGCAAGTGAACCACTATTTCTATTTGATGTGCAGGCTGGTCCATTACTAAATAGTATTAAATGGGACGATAAAGGTTTAGCTGTGGCAATAGCTCAAAACATTGACACCGGAGCTATTTTGATGCAAGGTTTTGCCAACCGAGATGCTCTCTTGGAGACCATTTCATCTCAGAAAGCAACATTCTTTAGTCGGTCTCGGTCCAGTTTGTGGACTAAGGGAGAGACCTCCATGAATTTCATCAATGTCTGTGATATCTTTCTTGATTGTGACCGTGATTCAGTAAGTTATATAAATTCTCTATCGAGACATTGAATTCTCAATTCTGACACTCACCACCATCACCACGAGTCATGACATAGTAATAACCTTGTTCAGATTATATATCTTGGGAAGCCTGATGGACCGACTTGCCACACGGGTTCAGAGACTTGTTATTACACATCGATGTTAGATCTCTTGAAAAATGAGAAGGTTCTGTCATCTGCATTATCTTGTCAAGTCCTAATGTGGTATTCTCTTTATGATTCTGGAGATCCTAAAATACTAGACCTTGATTGTTGTAGGTGGAAGCGAATAAGGTGGCTCTCACATCTTTATACTCGTTAGAGTCAACAATCTACCAAAGAAAAGATGAACTAACAGGATTGTCAAATGGAAAACCTTCATGGACAAAGCGATTATTGCTTGATGATAAATTGCTTTGCTCAAAAATCCGGTACTGTGCTGCTTACACTTATGATATCTTTTAAGCAAATTCCAAATGGATTCCCCCCAAAAAATCTCAACTATTTCAAGTTGTGACTTGTGACCACTATTACCGCGTGGTTCTGAAAGAAACCCACAGAATTCGCACAATTTCATTGATTAGTGAATCCTCTGTTTGCTGTTGTCACCAATGCTGTGTTAAGTGTTGAAGTGGCGTGTCTATTGTCAACACCAGATATGATCTGCAGTGGTTACTCAGGCCTGACTGTCCCTCTCCTAAGTCCTACCCAAACAAAAAATGCTAGAGTACACTTGAAATCATGCACACATCAAACTTATTGATAAAATGCTTGAAGACATTCAAAATTACTTGATGTTCATAATACGTCTTTTTAGGGTTTGTGATTTTTGAGAACCATGTGCCATAGTGGTCACAGCTCAACAAGGCCAATAACATACACTAAAGTTGCTCAAAATGGCCCTTAAAAAGCCATACTTAAGCCAATCCAATTGGATTTGAAAACACTCCTTTTTATGTGAGAACATAGGGGCACGGATTTCAGTCATTATTTTATTTGGAGTGTTGGACACCCAATTCCCAGACCCTACTCTTGAGTTTGAGTGTGATATACTGGGTTTGTTTGATTTTACATGAATACCCGATTTGTTCTCACGGAGTGCATGCATCATTTGTTGCAGGGAAGAAGCAGATGAGCTGTGCCGGACTATGGAGGAAAATGAGGTTAAATCACGTACTGCATCAGAAGCAGCAGATTTGGTTTATCATGCCATGGTTTTACTGGCCAACAGAGGAGTGAAAATTGAGGAGGTACTCCAAGTACTTAGGCTGAGGTTCTCCCAATCAGGGATTGAAGAGAAGGTTAGTCGCCGACAATAGAAGGGGAATTTGACAAAACTACCCCTTTCCCTCTTCTGTTTGAGCATTGCCCCCCCCCCCCTTCATTCGCCATCCTTTTCCTTCTATAGCGGAGTATAATTATGGAAGAGTATCTTAACTCAATGTGTGCCTTGTGTGATCATGCCATCCATGGTAAGATAATAAGCTTTTGTGACATGTACAAATGATTTTGCTCTTCAATATAATTAAACATGTACAATTATACCTTATATGTAGAAATATGAGGTGAGAATTCGAAGTTCCTAAAATTAATGGTGCAATAATCATAATCTTTCAAGCCGAAAAGTGAATGTTAGAACTCAAATAACTGTGACAAATTGTGGCAGCCTCAATTCCTCTCCATCTTCTTTTAAAAAAAAACCAAAATTACTTGGTGAGGCCAAAGCGAGCGGGACATTCCGCAGCCTTGAGCCAAGTATCCCCTTGTAAGAATGGGCCAACGGTGTATTCCATGGCCTCCTCCTTCTTGATCTCTCCCTTGTAACCCCCCCACTTCACCCTGGACTTAACCGAAGCCCCCGGGCCGGAGTTTGCGTACTCGGCGTAGTACAATGTCTCCAAGGCAAAGTCTCCACTCCAGGGCATCCATCCTTTCGGATGGATGAAATCTCCGATTTCGGACTCCATGACCACGGTCCTTGAATACTCTTTCCACGGGTGCCCGAGATAGCTCTTGGTCTTCGCCTTCTCCGGCTCGAGGGTGTCGTCCGCCAGGATCTTGCAGTTCTGGAGGACTATCCCGGTGGTCTGCCGCCGGTCGGTCCTCCCCTGGGCCGTCACTATGTTTTGCTGGTTCTCCATGGGCTTGCGGGCGTAGATCATGCAGTTCTGGAAGACGGCGGCGGCGTTGCCGAAGATGAAGTCAACGGTGCCGGTGATGTAGCAGCCGCGGTAGAACTGGCGGTGGGCTTGGACGTACAGAGTGTCTTGGTAGGCTTCCATTCTGCAGCTGATGAATATTGCCCGATCTGCTTGAACTCTGAGCGCCACCGCTTGGTGCTTCTCCGGCCCCGCTGTGTTACGGAACCCGATCGATTGTCCTAAGAATCCATCTCCCATTACAGCTGCATACATAGCCCAACGATAACCAAGTTAGTACTTATTATAAGAACATTCACTGCAAACAACTGATCACGGTCGTCTACAATATGTAACCTTTTAACAAAATGAAATCATACGAAGTACTTTTTTTTTTTTTTTGAAAAATTGTGTAGTTAACGAATGAGTAATATCTTACTTCCTCTTCTTTTTATCTTTTGCTTTAGTATTTATAATGTCAAATTATATTTTCTTTCTCTAAATCTATATCAGTGGTTGTTTGATTAATAATATTGTAATGTCACTACTATTTTGTAGAATTCTTTTATGTAATTTTCAATATATAAATTTTATATTATACATATCTATATAAAGTAAATTGAAAATAAGTCCGATCAAACATGATATTATAAAAATAGGGTTAGAGGTAGTAGGCTAATTGTTACCTATTTGTTCGAGTTTTAGCTAAGTATGTGCACTGGAAATCGAGTGATGCTTAAATAGTTTCAAGGTCTAAATTTAAATTGTGGATTTTCTCACATTTTTAATGAGCTTGCATGTGAATATTTTTTATTCTTGAAAAGGACACTTCTTTTATAATTCAAATACATTAAGGTTCATATAATGACCATAAATCTTAAGTCCACGGAAGAATTTATCCTAGAAATTAGTCTTTTTATCTCGAAACGATCTTCTCATTTGACCAATTAATATAAATGTTTATACATTGATATATTTTTAAAAAATTTAATATTTCAAAACTATATTTTAAAAGGAAACTATTGATATTTATATCAAAATACATTGTATTTTTTCCACAAATAGAAATCAAAATTTATAAATTTTGATGAAGAAAAATCCAATGCATGAGAAGATCATTTTTGAATGAAGAGAGTACTACTACGTACTCCCTCCGTCCGGAAATGTTCTTCCTGTGTTGACTTGGCACGCTTATTAAGGAATAGTAAAAAAATGCAAAATTTTTAAAAATGCACATACTATAAACTTTTAAATCTCCTTTTATTATTAAAAAAGTATTAAAAAAGTAGATTTGTGATAAAATAGAAGGGTATTATTGATATTTAGCCTTAAAAAGCATACTAAAAAAAGAAATGGGAAGATTAATTTCCGGACGGACCAAAAAGAAAAATGGGAAGAATATTTCCGGACGGAGGGAATACTAAATAAGGGTAGACATTGTCATTCCAATTAGGTTAGAGAAATGATGAGAACATAAGTGTTTGTTTCTTGAATCAAATTAGAACTAAAATATGAATCTTATATGGAGTAACAAAGAATTTAAAAAAAAAGAATTTGCATCAGAAACTGCGTGCTCGTTTGGCAACAGCTTTCAAAATTAGAGTTAGCGTATTGAAATTTCTATTTAACAACATTTAATTTTAACGTTTTCAAATTATTTTATACTCCGTACTATTAAAATTTTATTCCAAATACTAATGTTATTCTAAAACGTTAAACAACTAAACAAGGCCTTCAATATAATTTTTGCTCCATCTAATGATATTTTGAATCCCGATTTAAAATAGGACCGAATTGGCTCTCAATCAAAACCATTTGCATAGTCGTAAGAGTGAATTGGAATGTTAGTATATGGTTTTGGTTAATACTCATAGACTTTAAGGCCCCGTTTGATACAAGGAATTCAAACTATGGAATTGGAATTAAGGACTTCAATTCCAATTCTCGTGTTTGGTAGCATAGAAATTGTGTGGATTTGGAATTAGTAGTGCAAAAAATGAATTGGAATTAATGAATTCAATTCTATGGAATTGAATCCCATGGAATTTTAATTCTAATTCAATTCTAATTCTATCAATTCCATGTACCAAACAGACCCTAAGAAATCGAATTGTTCTGTCCTTTTCATGACTCATATATTTACTTGACTTCCCTTAATATTTAAATTTTTACAATTGACCAAAACACTAACTAATCTAGAGTCTGCTTAATATATTACGTAGTACACCTTTATTAATCACATAGAAATATGTTTAGAGTTTATAGAGCGATGGTAAACAATACGTACCAAACGTTGCGGTTTGGTATGTTGACACTCCATCTACAAAATTTTTGCTACCGGTAACGATAGTCTTTTTTGACCCAACTCCATAGATAGTGAGGTTCACCATCTTCTTTGTCACCACCACATTTTCTTCGTATATTCCTTCCTTGACAAAAATTACATACCTGCAGTGCTACATGGGGTTAGTGTTTTGGTAAAAAAAGAAAAACACAAGTAATTAGGCTGTTAGGGAGACCGATGTGCAATGTTCTTTCTGGGAGGGGCCTGCTTCGAATAAAGTCATTTTCTCAAGGGGCGCAATGCAAAGTATTAAATTAAGATTTCCAGATAAGTCTTACCGCCCGTCGTATTTTTGAGGGATGGCGGCTAAAGCAGCATTAATGGTTGTGAAGTTCCCACTGCCATCCTTGGCGACGGTGGCGTTGGGTGGCTGCTTGGGAGCCTCGACCTTGAGGATCCTGCGTTCCTCGTGGTCCATCCATGCCGGAAACTCGCGGTCGTCTTCGTCGGCGAGGAGGTGTCGCTTGAGGTCGAGATCTGGGATCTGGAAGGTGGAGAGCGCGGAGGAGAGCTGGGAGACGATGGCGAGAGCGTTGCTGGCGATCTCCTCGGCGGTCTTGAGGGAGTTCCTGACGGCCGTCTTCTCTTCGCCGTCGGGAAATCCGTCGATGCAGTTGTCCTGAAAGGTAATCACGGCGCTCAAGTAATTGTTCAAGTCGGGGGTTCTAGAAGCTAGGGATTCCATCCCCGAGTTTCCCACGCCGGACATGGAGCTGTTCAATTCCTCCATCGCGTCGGCGAGGAGCACCTTGCAATCGTCCATCGCAGCTTTCTTATGCGGCGTGTCGAGTTTCAGGCCGCCGGCTTGCTTTATTGCCTTGTCGATTTCCTCTATGGCGATTGCCATGGAAGACCTTAGAAGCTCCTTGGGGTTGTGAGCGGCCGAGGCATTCTCCTTCGCCGCCCTCTTGAGGCTGTCCTCGCAGGTGGCGTTGTAGTCCGTGCCCGCACATATCGTCGCGATGACCTTCTCAGCTTTTCCAATCACCGCCGGTGGTTCAACTGGGGATTGGGATGGAGGTTCCGACGGCGCTATTGACGGCGGCTCGACAATAGCAGCCTTGGACGGTGATGCGGGAGGCTCGCCATGGTCAACAACAGCAGCCTTGGATGGTGAGGAGGGCGGCTCGCCATGCCCGACAACAGCAGCCTCTGGCTCCGCCTGCTCGGCGGTTTCCGATTTGGGAGGCGGCTGTGGATGGGGCGGCGAGGATTTGGGCTTGTGAGCCTTGTTTGTCTTAGAGGCATGCTTCTCTTTGTCCTCGTGGGGGGCCTTAAGCACCACAAAATAAGCAAATGCAGCAGCCGCGGCGAGGAGGAGGACGACGACCAACACCAAGGCGGTTATGATTCTCCTCCTCAACTTGGCCTGCTTTTCCTTCTTCCGCCGCTCGGAAATCAGGTCAAAATCTTGAAATGCCATTCTCTTATGTGAATGAATTTGCAAAATTAGTGGTTAGAGGTGGAGGCAGAGCTCAACTCTGCCCTGGATTCAGGCCAATCCAAGGCAGAAGAGGTTCCAGGTTCACAGATTTTCCGGTCTCCTCCTCTATGGGCTATGTCTTCTTCTATTGGCGTTTCATTATATTAGTTCTGCTTAATTATCGTTTGGGTCGAGTGGAATAGTGAGCCATGATGATTAAATTTCTCAAAGTGATGAGAGGGAAACAAACAACAAGGCTTGGATTGGAGAAGTTTTAGGATACAATGCCCAATACCCTTCATTCAAATTGCTTTCTGTTGAAAGGAAGAGGTAATCCATATTTCTCATGTTGTCTCTTTCCTTTCAACCGTTGTTTATCAATGATGCTATATCCCTTGCTAATTATTTTTTCTCATACGCAAGCAAGTAGGAAAGAGCAAACTATTGAAGTTAACACTTTCAAACAATTTTAAAAAATACGGAGGATTAAAAAGTGAAAGTATTTGATGAAATATAAAATGTGTGGTTGAGATTTATGTAGAGGAGTTAAATCATAAGTCTCATATTGCACTCAAATTAAAAAAATAAGTGTCTCATATTCATTTTCTTAAAAAGAAAATAGAAGAGTGTAAATTTAATTTTGGAATGAAGTTTCGAATGTGAAATTCTTGTTCCTTATAATAATTGTTTAAAACATTTGCTTTATTTATTTCTCTCATATAGAGGAACTAGTGCTAATCCCATGATACACAAGAGCTCATATACATTCTAAAATTTGTAATGTTCTCTTAAAATTATATTTTGAAAGATAATGGAAGGTTAATGGAAGAGTATAGGGCCATTCACCTCGTGAGGAGGTTAATGGAAGAGTATAGGGCTAAGAAGAATGACCTTCATATGGTGTTTATTGATCTTGAGAAGGCGTACGATAGGGTGCCAAGGGACAAGACTGAATACATGGAATGTCGTTTCAGCGGCCGGGAAACAGAATCAGAAGTGGAAGTTAGGATTGACTCTCACGTAGTACCTAAGGTAGGCAGGTTCCGTTATCTTGGCTCGGTAATCCAGGCGGATGGGGAGTTGGACGAGGATGTTGGACATCGTGTTGGAGTGGCTTGGGCCAAATGGCGGTTGGCCTCAGGGGTGTTGTGTGACCCGAAGATTTCACCCAGGATGAAAGGTAAGTTCTACCGATCCGTAGTCAGACCTGCTATGTTATACGGGGCAGAGTGTTGGGCGGTTAAGAAGACTCATGTGCGTCGTCTGCATGCGGCGGAGATGCGGATGTTACGATGGAAGTGTGGGAAGACAAGGTTGGATAGGATTTCGAACGAAGTTATTCGACGTCAGGTAGGCATGGCGCCGGTGGAAGATAAGTTGCGGGAAGCGAGGTTGAGATGGTTTGGGCATGTGAGACGACGGGATGCTGATGCCCATGTACGGAGGTGCGAGAGGATCACGGTTATCGGGGGAAGTAGGGGAAGGGGTAGACCTAGGAAGAATTGGAAGGAGGTGATTAGGCAGGATTTAGGACTTCTCACCCAGACTGAGGATATGGCTTTAGATAGGAACTTTTGGCGGACTATGATTAAAGTAACTGGTTAGGAGCTCGGTGCTGCAGAGATTTTTTGTAGTGTGTTGTGTTTGATTGGAATCTTCTACTTTTGCTTGCTAGACTTTCATTTCATTGTACTTGGTGCTTTATCCTGTTATATCCGGTTATATCCTGTTACCCTGTTATATTGTGTTTCCTACCATATTTTTTGTGCAGGTTGAGCCGGGGGTCTCTTGGAAACAGCCTCCCTACTTCCGATTAGGGGCAAGGTCTGCGTACACACACCCCCCAGACCCTACTGTAGTGGGATTCAACTGGGTTGTTGTTGTTGTTGAAAGATATAATTTTATTTATTGCATAATAACCAAACATTTGGAGGGGGCTTAGGGTGGGGTTGGGGTGGTGGGGGTAGGGATGGGGCTAGGGTGGGGGGTTTAGGGGTGGGTTAGGGGGTTATGAACCATCAATTTTCTGATTGGAGCACCAAAAGTGCTCAAAAAATGTAGTGACATTGCTAGTGTCGCTATTGTTGAGTATCAACGAAATCGTGCCTTGTTAAAAACATTTGTTTTATTTATTTCTCTTAAATTGACGAACTAGTGTTATTCTTGTGATTCACAAGAGCTCATATACATTCTAAATTTTTTAATATTCTCTAAAAACTATATTTTAAATAAATATAATTTTATATATTTTAATTTTCAAGAAGAAGAAAGATGTATTTACAAGATCGTTAAGAGTTGAAAAAGATGGATGCGGGATTTAGACCAAGTTAAGTGCATTTAGGAAAAAAAATACTCCTTCCGTCCAAGTTGAAATTTCTCGTTTTGACTTGGCACGGATTTTAATGTAAAGTAAAAATTAGTTTGACTTTACAATTATACCCCTCCCCCTCCCACCTCTTTCTTCGTCGTCTCCCCTTCTGGCCTTCTCCACAAGACCACAACTTTCTTCTCCACCCCCACCCCTCCCTACCTTCTTCTTCGTCTCCACAATATTCTTCTTCTCTGCCCACTCGTAAAAAATCAAAATTCAAACAAAATCCAAACTTCGAAAGCTGTTTGTCTAAACGTTTGCCGATGTCCGATCGAAAAGCTTTGGGAAGAGGATGGGCAGACAGCGACGGAGCGACGATCTGAAAAGTTCGTCGCCTTCCTTTCACCGGCGCTCGTTTGCCTATCCATTCGCCGCTGCTTGGATATGAGAGATCTGAAACCAGATTTGAAAATGTATCCAGATCCCTTGGCCACCTTGTAACGGAGAATTGAGAATTTAGATCTGAAATTAAGGATAAAAGTCAGATCTGGGGGTTGGGGTGGTCTGACAATTACGATGAAAAAGGGGAAGAAGCCTTTCAAAGAAAAAGAAGAAAAAGGCTGGGGGAGGGGTCTGTATGTACGAAGATCAAGAAGAGAAAGTGTATATGAAAGAAGAGAAGAAGAAAATTTGAAGAGAAAGAGTGGAAGGGGGGGGGGAGCTGACGAGTGGTTACTGGTTAGGGGGCTGACTTCAAACAAGGCTAAAAAAACAGAAATGAGGGTAAATTAGTCTTTTTGGATAAAATTATTTTTCAAAAAAGGAAATGGGAAGAATCAAGTGGGACGACCTAAAAAGGAAAATGAGAAGAAAGATATGAGACGGAGGGAGTAGTGAAGTATTGGTCTCCAATGAAAGCATAAATAAACTTTGGAAGAGCTACTTCACTGAATTGTTTAATGAGGAGCATGTGAATCTCTCATGCTCCGGGCTACACACGAGGGAAGATGACCAAAACTTAAATTATTATCGAAGAATTTGAGAATTTGAAGATAAGGAGGCTCCAAAAATGGATAAAGAATAAAGGAGCAATTGGCCCGAACAACATTTTGGAGGAAATTAAAAGGCATTGGGTGGCTAACTAAGTTTTTTTACAAGATTCTAAGATCTAAGGAGATGCCTAATGAATGGAGGAAGAACATCTTGGTTCCTATTGGGTATATCATGGGTGTATCATTAAGTATCTTGGGTGTATCATTTAAAACAACTGAGAAATAGAGGAGGATATAAGCTCCATGATTCAAGCAGGTTGGTCAAAAAAATGGTAGAATGCTTCGCTTTTTATATGTGACACAAAAGTCCTTTAAAACTCAAAGGAAAGTTTTACTGTACTGTGATTAGACCAGCTATGTTGTATGGAACAGAGTGTTGGACTGCAAAGGGTGCACATGAACACAAGATTAGGGTGGTCGAAGTAAAGACGCTTCGATGGATGAGTGGTCATACACATGGATAGAATAAGTAATGAAGATTTGAGAGCTAAAATTAGAATGACACATATTATAGAGAAGATGGTGGAAGTCCATCTAAGGTGGTTTAGATATTTAGAGAGAAGACTCATAGAGCATCCGGTGAGAAAAGTTGATCAAATTCTGGATAAACATGTGGATAAAAATGTGGATAGAAAAAGGTAGACCTATAAAGACTTGACATGAAGTATCGAATCATCTCAGGGTTTTTTTAACATACAATGAATTTAGAAATGGTCTTTAATGATGTACTTTAAGTATTTAAACGAAATTTGTCAATATTAATGATATGTACCTATAAGTATTTTACATTAGTTCAAACTAGAGTGTGATTGTCATTTGTCACTTGGTATCGTGTTTCTCACTAAAATACGATGCTAAGAGCTAAGATGAATCTAATGAGATCATTTAGCTGGCTATTAGGCTAACGAAGGGAATTTCTCTTTCAGAAAGAGAGTTGTCTCTTCAGTCCCCCCACCCCTACCACCTGCTATCTAACTAATGTTTCCCCATTTGTATATGCACACATATATTAAGATCATGTAAATAGCATAGTTGTTAAGTCGACAAGTCGAGTCGAGTCGGTGACAGGGAGACTAGTGGACTAGGCAACTAGTCGTAGACTAGTCGACAAATCACAATTACTAGTGAAAATTTTAACATTATATATATCGGCATTAACTGAATTCAGAAAAAAAAATTGAAATACTAAAATATTAACTAAATTAAAATACTAAAATATTAACTGAATTCAGAAATACTAAATTGAAATATTAAAATAAGAAAAAAAAATATTAACTTAAAATATTAAAATAAGAAATACTAAAACAAAATATTAACTGAATTCAGAAAAAAGATTGAAATATTAAACTGAAAAAAACTGAAATACTAAAATACTAGAATAAGAAAAAAAACCAAAATATTAACTGAAATATTAAGAAAATTGAAGAAAACTGAAAATTTTAAAGTATATTATACTCTATATTTTAATGAATCAAATCAATGAAAATTAAATCAAATAAAGAGTATACTTTAATGATAACAAAGTAAACATTGAGAAATCTTACCCATGGAGGAGAGTCGCTAGAAGCCTGGAAGTCACTGCTGGAAGCCTAGAACTGAAGAGAGAGTTGCCATACTCCAGACTGTCGATTGTGGATGGATTGCGTGGAAGAGGCGTGTTTTATAAAAAAAATTTAAAAATTAATGAAATTTGGGTCGGGTCGGGTCAGGTCAAATGGATTAGGTCAAATTTGGCTAGATTCTTTCACCGATTAGGCGGCGCATAATCGCGACTAAGCGTCGCTTTGCACGCTTTGTAGCCTAGTCAGACCTATGCGCTAGTCGGAGAGCAAATAGCCATGGCAAAACCGCCCGGACGACTAGTCGGCGACTAGTCGTGGCCTAGGCGACGACTTGACAACCATGGTAAATAGGGCACCTTGGACTTATTTAAAATTGAGGGAAACATTGTGAACCACACCAAATTAATTTTGTTTATCAGGAATTAAGGCATTTAGGATAACAATAGCTAATTATCTCAGTGATACCTGAAACATATGAAGAGGTAACCTCAATCACATAACGTCATACGGTCATACCAATAAGATGTTAATCATGCTCATTTCATTTTCGTTGGTTTATCGTAGGGAATATATATTCTCTTATTTGACTTGCCTTTAAGGGTTGCCTATCTTTGCATAACCACTTGCATTTTGGAAGATTACCATTTTGGAAGACTAGCTCAAACAAAGCTTTCACGTTGTTCAACAAATTCTTTTTAGAACACTGATTTAGTCAAATTGGAAAGATACTCCATGTCTATGGAAGAAGTGGTGAGTGATTTGATTACACATAAAATGGTAATTAAATGAAGTGTTCCTTGATAATAAATGCTCCATTAATATAATCATTCAAAATTTGTTGCCCATACAAGCAACAACAAACACTGCACACAATATGAAGAAAGAAAACTAGTCATTTGAACTGTATCTACGCTTGTTCTATCTGAATGGTTACATGGCTAATATTGTACTCTCTCCTAATGTAGTCAATGACTTTCTCTAAGACTTTGTCAGCATCAGCATCAGGGTTAATCTTGACATGGCATGATAATAGAACTTTTCCCACAGTAATAGCCCATATGTGCAATTCATGGATTGCCACAACCTCCTCCATCTCACATATCCCATTCTCAAGCCTTGTCGCGTCAATTTCTGGGGTCGTGCTCTCCATCAACAGCTCAATAATGTTCCACACCATTCTAATGGTTGTGAACAAGACGACTGCGGAGAAGATGAGGGTGCAAACAAGATCTATTATCTTCAAGTGTGGTTTGTACCATATGATTGCCCCGCCAATCGTCACCCCGATGCTTTGAATAGAGTCTCCGAGTACGTGAAGATAAGCCCCTTGCATGTTTATGTTCCTTTGCTTGTTTTTAATATCATGGTGACCATGTCAGTGTGCATGATCATGACCATGACCACGTCCGTGTCCGTGCCCATGGTCATGCCCAAGCAAGATAGCCATAACGATATTAAATATTAAACCCAATGTGGATATGCCAAACATTAGGAAGCCCTTGACTTCGCCTGAATCGTGTAAAAGTCGTTGAATGGCTTCATAAACAATAATACCAGTTTGAAGCCAAATCAATTGTATGGAGAGCAAGGCACCAAGAATCTCAACCCTGAAGAACCCATAAGAATGCCTGGGGGTGGCTTCCCGACCTGATGCCCACAGGGAAAAAAGTGATATTGCCAAGGCTGCAACATCACAAAACAAGTGGGTTGCATATGTATATATTGACAAATGGTTTGCTTTAATGCCTCCGACAACTTCAA